TCGGTGTAGCGACACGAATTCGTGCTCCACGCCCCGTTTTCAGTCGATTTTTGTCGGAGAAAAGAACGTATACTATGTTCATATTAGTCTCTATCCATATCTATACTTTATTTTGCAGTTGAGGGTTGACAGAACGGTCTGTAAACTTGTAGATACTCACCGTCGTTGATACTCCTTTTGTGTTGATATATGCCTGTATATCGGCAGCTGCCACGCGTGATATGTGTAGACGGGAGCGCTAGTCCCAAAGGCGTTAGCGTTGTTTCAAACTGAGAAAAACCGCTTCGGCCCAGATGTCAACAGTGAATAAATGCACTGGAACAACAGCCTGCTGATTGATATCCCCAGCTTCCGCCAGTGAGTGGCTGGATAGAAACCGGTAGAAGATTCGAGTAGATTCGACTAGATCGAACCAAGAATCACCGAGAGTTGATACTAGGTAGGACGCAAGGGCCTTTCAAAGCACACCTTGTGGGTTCGTGCTGAGTTGGCACAATGTACAGTGATATGCTGATCTATAGCCAAGTTAGTTCTGTGTTCCATACCTACGGCATAAGAAACAACACAGCGCAAATATCTTGCAATCTTCGACAAGCTATAGATCATTCATCTATGATAAAGTAACCTTACAGACTCAAATCCCAGCTGAGGAGCTTGCTGGCATGGGGTTGTATAGTGTCACGTGATGAATGAGAACACAGCAGTAACAGAGCGCTTGAATTGTGCTTGACCTGGGCCAGGGAATCCCGACAAAGCAAAACAAATAGCACGTGTAGGGGTTATGCTCTTCCACAGGAGGGAACTTACCAATAAGTAGCTCCCTATTAAACCAATCCAGCTGGCTAACAAAGGGGTGAGGATACAACGAGTCCAAGATTAAGCGTAGAGATGACAGGAAAACAGGCGATGAAAAAGAAACACTAGGGGTATCAATGCTGTAAGACTCAGTCTAGGATTATAAATTGTCAAAACAGCTCGCCATTATCTCACCATGGACCGGATTTCCGACATGTAACGCGTTATCAGGGTTGAGCAACGTTCGATTAAAGTTCCTAATTAATCGTTCGACTTGTGGATCAGGGGCGGAAAATTGTTTTTACGCGGCTATGCTTCTCGCTTGGGCTACGAATTCAGATCCGGACCGACCACATCGTGCTGCAGTAAGCACATGCAAGTAATAGTCATGAAGTGACGGTAAATTGCGGTTAAGATGTCTGTCTAGCTCTAGCTTTGAGATTATTAGGAAGCCAAGGTCGTAAAAAAAGGCATGTCAAGTGCCTAGAGCACCCGAGTACCTCCGCCCCCGTCGCCTACATGCTAAACCTCTTCTCATATGTACTTATCCAACCAGGGTATCAAAAAGAAGTTACACGTCTAAAGACCAAATTGCACCCGGAGAGCGTTGCCGAAACGTCGGATGGCTTCATCGATGTTCTCAAAACTGGCGGCAGCGAAAGTTGCGCGGAAGAACATCTTGCCCTCGCCAACTTCAGTGGCCATGAACCAGCTACCTCTGGAAACAAGGACCTCGTTGTCAACAGCAGCAAGGAAGATCTCTTCTTCAATCTGGTTACGAGTCTTGCCTGCCGCGAGGCCGGGATGCTTTTGCCAATCAATGCCAATCCAGTGCTAGAAAACCGATCAGCTTGTTGAAATCCACTCATTATAAGGTATTTGGGCACTTACAAACATGCCCGCTGCGGGTGCGACCCAGCTCGCAATTTCCTGTGGGAGGTGCTTCTCACAAGCAACTACCAAGGTATCCCTGCGACCGGTATATTGCATACGAAGGTTGATCAGCCAGTCAAGGTACCCAGCATGGCCCCAATGCTCGTCCAGAAGCTTGAAGAGAAGAATCTGCGAGATACCGCTCGGGTTCTGGGCAGTAGTCTCACTGTGACGAATATAGCGCTCGATGAACTGCTCCGGAGCAACCAGCCATCCGGCACGCGATCCAGGAGTGAGAACCTTAGAGAAGGATTCAATCCGGCAAACGCGGCCATCAGTATCCAAGCTCAGATATGAAGGGACAAGCGATTTGATGAATTCAGCGTGATTGGCCGGGGGCGGTGGAGGAGTGCCGTCGGCGCCGGTGTAGGGCTGCATCTGCAGGAAGTAGTACGGCTCGTCTTCAACAATGAAGATATCATGCTTCTGAGCGACCTCGTACACAGCCTTACGCCTCTCAGTCCACTGAGTTGCACCCGTGGGGTTTTGTCCCGTCGGGATAGTGTACAGTACGCGGGGCTTGCGGCCACCGCGAGTTGCCTCATCCCAGTTGCTGAGAGTTTCGTCAAGTGCCTCGGGCAGAAGACCCTGTTCGTCCATCTTGATCCCGACTACCTTGAGGCCGAGAGGAAGCGCGGTTTCCTTGGCACTCGAGAAAGTGTATTCTTCCATCATGATGTAGTCACCTCTGTTGCAGAGAATGCGGAGGATAGCATCCCAGGCGAAGGTACCGCCAGGCGTCAAACAGCATTGCCAATCGGAGTAAGGGGGGTTGTGGATAAGCTAACCGCCAAGCATCAGTCGTGAACAGAGCTTCTTGCAGTGTGGTTTGCCTGTCAGTGACATACCTCTGTGTGTTCCGTGACGAACCGCAGCAATTGCGGGGATCCCGTGGCCTGGCCGTAATTAAGCGCGACCTCCAAGTCTGATGAAAACAGTCTCAGCCATTGAATAAGCTTCTCAAGAGGAAAGCGGTCATTTAACACTCACCGTATAGACTTGTTCCGTCACGCGTGTCTCCCTTCTTTGCAGTCAAAACGGCACCGGATTTGCTGCGTTCTTCGGGAGAGAAGCCAGGAGGGGTCGGGACTTTCACGGAGAGTTCATCGAAGGGGAAATATTCAGGAGAGGGAAGACCGCCACCGAGGGAAATCAAGCCCGGGTTCTTGAGATACTGCGCCGCACCCTTCAATGTTGAGGTCTAGAGATATCCAACGAGTACAAGTTAGCTTCGAAATGAGCAGCCGGGCCAGTGGGGTTTGACGGACGAACCTTCCGAGACTTTGCCTCGATGGAGAAGATATCTGGGAACAAATCAGGATTCAGTCCGAGGAACATAGTGGCGGGTACTAACCATCCCAGCGTTTGGCTTGTGGCTTGGTGTAGCAGTGCTGATAATAGTAGATGAGGGGTTAGTTCCGTGCGCCATCAGCAAAGCCAGAAAACGGACGTACTGGGCTTTTGAAGAGGTCACTATGGGTCGCAGGCGCAACGCCCAAGGGAATTTTTGCGCTCTTTGCTCTGAGGGCCGGGATGGCGTCGACTGTCAATGGTCCGGCAGCGGAAGCCGAGCCCGAGTCAACGGCCGCGGGGCTCATGGTCGAATTGGAAGCTGGAAATGATAGGTTGTAAGTGGATGGTATTGTTGTATGTTTCGCACTTGGTGTCGGAAAAGTGCAGAAAGAACAGTGTGAAGGGAAAGAGATGTTGCAACACCGGAAGATGAGTGGGAAAGAGGAGAGAATAAAGAGAAGGAAAGGAAATCGAGTCACACACTCCGACAGCTGCCCGTCCGCTTTTTGCTCCGCTTTAGACCAGCTCGGGCGGACTGGTTCCGCCGGCAAGCGTCGCGCACTGCAACGGCGATTTGTCCACGATAGCAATCTGCGCTGCAGGACTGAGTACAGCAGCTTCCCCTGGTATTGTGATTGGCAAGTGAGGGTGATATCTCAGGAGCAAGTGGATCAATCCTATTGACCCTAGAAGGCATGGTAAAATCATTCTATCGAATTGCGAATGCTGTCATCGGTAAGGCGTGGCGGGGTATTGTATGTACTGTATGTAATCCAAATACCGCTCTGCATACATGTTCGAGTAATTTCCGACAGATACGGATTTGATGCTTTTCCCCGCATCTGCGAAAACCTGGGGTAATCACGAATCATTGCATCATGTGCAATCCCTTCACTGAATCCCTGCGAATCTGGATCTTCAAGCAGGGATCTCCCAAGGGTAGAACGTGACGACAATTGGAGGGGGAAAGTTGAGAAGTGGTAATGGTGCATATCGGCGGTATGACAGCCCCACGCCTAGATAAGGCTATCGCCGGCATCGGAGCGAGGCTTATCGGAGATCCGATCAGCCATCAACCAGTCAGTGCAGTGCAGTGCCCATGGTATCATATCGCTGCCAAATGAGTCAAATGAGGAACTATAACCGAAAACCTTAAATGCAAACTACCCATGTTGCGCAAATATGACACTATGATTTGATTTGTAATGGGAAACCCCGTGTATGCGCCTACTAGGGAGTCACTTACAATAGTCACGGGCGCAACTTCAGTCGTATACAGTACGTGGGGTTTCTATACTGTATCGGTGGCTTGGTCATTCGCAAGCGGGAAGAGCCTCGCAGAGAAGGCCGGGATACCTCGGATATAAGGCTCAAATCATTCGATCAATTGAGTAAACAATTCTGTCCTCATATGAGAATGGTCCTAGTGAGCTCAAGTAGGTATGATTAAGTAAAGACCTAATGAATCTCTCTACAATCATCCTCAAGTAGCTCTTCCATGAGGAAACTACAGTAGGTCAATTAATATGGGCTTTATTTCCGCTCTCTCAGACAAGAAAGACGACCCGACTGGGCAACGATTTAACCACCACAAATCCTTGTGGCAGCCTTCTTCTCCTCTCTGCAGTTCTCAGCATCACTTCCAGTTCTGGCTGAGAGCGTGGGTCATTAAATGAAAATAATGGTCCAGTATTTTATCGCCATCATTGGGATCTGTACTGCAGTACTCCTCTTGTGGGTCTCCACTTGAAAGATAACCCCAGAATATCTCACCCGGCCTCTAAAATGATGCTAATGGCTTCTAGCCCAAAACTTCTCACACCGCGCAATCATTATCCTTCCATCGAGCCAGATATCACGCAGAGACCGCCAGGAAACAAAACAAGATCCGTCACTGATGCCTGCCTCGGGAGCGCTCTGGTCAAGGATGGGTGGGTAGACTGGTCACCCCAAGGTTCTGTTTCCCCGGTGAGCGCCGCATGCTCTTCGTGCAAGCCTGGCCGTCCACGGGGCGGTTCTGGCGCAAGGAAAACCCCACCCCGGCTGAGTTGCGATACATGAGGTTTGGTCCCTCTTCGTCAAAGTTACAGGTGCCGCGATCACCGCCGCAGACGGAGGAGGATGCCTTCACCAAACAACTGCGACGGATCGATGCTTTGGAATGGGAGAATAAAGATAGATGCGAGGAGGCGTACTTCGGCGATTCGCTGGACATAGGCCTCCGCAGATTTCGGCAGGCAACCTACGGGTGGCCTTCGAGCGGCAAGGGGCTCTGAACGTGAGAGTACGATGCTCACCCACGCCGGTTGGAACAGGAGCTGGAGCAGCGTGAACTGCTAGCTGCGCTGAAAGGGGCTCAGGATATGGATGAGCAATGCGCGATTCTAGAGCGATCGGGGCTGGCGACGTTCTATGAGGATCCAGCGGACTATCTCCGGCTTGCGGACCTTTACAGGGTTAGAAGCAGGGGGAGAGTGTATGACATGAAGGAATTATGACAAATGGTGGTCATGGTGAACTGGAATGGGCGGGTGAAGGGCTGTTCATGACCTCCAGTGTCCGGACCAGAACACCAATAACTTAGCATCGAGCTTGGAGTCGGGTATAGTACTACAAATATACTTATGAACCTCAATATTATGATTGCCACGATATCTGAAACTAAGATTAAAAGCGGTGTTTTGTTTTTGTCATATATAGCTTTTAGAAAGTCCCAATTGATGGCTTTATTCTAGTAAATTTGAGACAGACCAAGCACAATACTCAGATATTGATTGCGAGTATATGCCACCCGAAAGGTGCTCTGCTAGCACTCTGAAGCCATGTAAATCAGAAGAATATTTGACGATAACGCGCAAACCATTGACAATACCGGACGCAGTACGGATAAGTCGAATGAGTTTCAACGTTACGTGCGGAGTGCAGCCTCAGAACTGGTGCTCCGCATCAACATGGCTAACTTCCCCTCACTTCCCCTCTCGAGAAAGCCACATCAGTCAACCCAGCATAAGACAAGCATCACATCGCGCTCACCATCACATGTAATACTCGCCTCAATGCTCATCCAACATCTCACAGATGAAGTAAAGTTCTACCCCGCAAGACGAAAGGCCTGGGAAGACTTGACCGAGAGTCGACATTGAATCTGGAACCAAGCGACCCCTCTCCATCCAAGCCAGAAGCTCAACTCCGAGCTCATGGAGCCACAATGCTGGAAAATGGAATTGAGGACCGGTGATTTTCGTCATGGGCCATCATGGTGAATCTACCATGGTTGAATCCTCAAGTTGATCTATATAATGACCCTTGAAGGATGGACAAAGTCGAGAAATCAAGACATCAGTGTCTCCCGAAGTCATCGACGTTTCCAACTTTGTTTCTATAACCCCATCACGCAAAACACCAGCATTCTGTCCTTCATCAATTTTCTACGCAAGACCTCCAAGCCCCCCACCAAAATGCGCGGAAAAGTCACCATCGAGGAAGCCTTCGAGATCCCGTCCGAGGCGGATCAGAGCCGCGACCAGGCGGCGATCTACGTGGCGCCGGACGACCTGGAGCGCTACCTGCGGCAGATCAAGTCGATCACGGGGGAGCGGCTGAAGATCTCGGAGGACAACGGGATCGGGTACACGGTGCTGTCGCTGACGGTGCCGGGGATCCAGGGGATCCGGGAGCGGGAGAAGGCGGAGTCGCACGCGCGCGAGGTGAACAACTACATCGCGGACAAGATCAAGGACCACCGCGACCGGCTGGGCGCGTTCGCGGCGCTGTCGATGCACGACCCGGCGCAGGCGGGCAAGGAGCTGCGGCGCTGCGTGAAGGAGCTGGGCTTCCACGGGGCCCTGCTGAACGACGTGCAGCACACCAACCAGCGCGGCCGCTGCCTATACTACGACCAGCCCGAGTACGACGAGTTCTGGCGCGTGGCCGTCGAGCTCGACGTGCCCATCTACCTGCACCCGGCCGCGCCCACGGGCGACAACTACAAGGAGCACTACGAGAACCGCAAGTACCTGGTCGGCCCGCCGCAGAGCTTCTGCAACGCCGTCGGCCGCCACGTCATGGGCCTCATCACCAACGGCGTCTTCGACCGCTTCCCCAACCTCAAGCTGATCCTCGGCCACCTCGGCGAGCGCATTCCCTTCGACTTCTGGCGCGCCAACCACTGGATCAACGACGTCGAGCGGCCCCTCGCCAAGAAGAACGGCGACACCATGTGCGAGCGCGACGTCCTCCACTACTTCAAGAACAACATCTACGTCACCACCAGCGGCCACTTCAGCACCAACACCCTGCGCTTCGTCGCCGAGGAGATCGGCGTCGACCGCATCATGTTCAGCGTCGACTACCCCTACGAGAGGCTGGAGAACGGCTGCGGTTGGTTCGACAACAACTCCGACGAGCTCAAGAAGATCCTCGGCGGCCGCGACGGCTATCTGCGTGTCGGCAGGGACAACGCCAAGAACGTCCTCAAGCTCTCCAAGTTCAAGGACTCCGACGCCCCCGTCTGATCTGGATGGCTTTTTAGGAGTCATCATCAACTGATTTGCTTGGTTGCTATCGCTTTTTGCTCGATTTCGAGTCTTGGCTTCTTTTTCTTCGTGTCTTTTCATTGTTTCGTTTGTTGGTCGTAGGTTGAAAATTGCGTGGAACATGCGCTGAATCAGGGTTGGGGGCGGGTTTGCTAAGACTGTGAACACTCCTTACTTAGGTAACTCATCTAGTAAGTAGGAATAATGCATTGTTTGTTTGCTTGCTTGCTTGAATCATGTGGGAACGTTACTCATCGTATTATACAGCTCGTAACAGCCGTTAGAGTAGCACAAACACACTTGATTTTTAGAAGATAGGGCTCGCTATTCACAAATAACAGGGGAACATGGCACGTGATACTCTGAGCGCTCTAGCATACGTCTGGTCCTCTCAAGGCAACGCTTTGGATACCCGTCAAAGACAGAAGCATTGGGTTGATTCGACTGTTTTGTATTCCAAGCGTGACTAAGGGAGGACTAAAGTATCTAGATTCATCGATCTTCTTTGCACTAATATATAGACTCCCATGTTAGTCCAAGTTCAAAGCTTAGAGTTTCGGCTTTGCCACGTATTTGCCCTCCGTCCCATCCAACTGCGCCTCCAACACAGCCGTGGTGCCATTCTGCACACTCTTGATGGCCTCAGGCAGCAACCGACGGAGCTCCGCAACCGTTGACGCCTGCGCCGCCCAGAATTGACCTCCCGAGGCCGCCTTCGCGATCCCGGGGTAGTCCGGAGTGGGCGCGAAGGAGATGTTGAGGTCTTCGTTGGTGGCCCGGGAGCCGTCGCCGTTGGGGTGCACCAGCAGCATACTCCTCCGCGGGGCATTCCAGCCCTTGTTGTTCAAGACAATTGTCAGGATGGGGATATTGTACCGGCGCGCCACCCAGTACACGGAGCCAGGCACCGAGAAGAGGTACGTGCCGTCGCCTACGATCTGACAGACGAACTTGCCCTTGTTGTTCCCCCCGTGTTCAAGATCGGTCGCGAGCTTGATGCCCAAAGCACCGCCACCAGACCAGCCCAGACCACCGCCGCCGCAGTTGATCCAGGATTTGGGGATAGTTGCCGCGATTTGATCGGAGACGATCCCAGTCAGCGTCACGGACTCGATCGCCCAGATGGTGTCAGCAGGACAACCTCCCCGGAGCTGGGAGATGAGATACGACGCGTTCAATGGCGCCCCGTCCCCGCCTGCTGGTGCCACGGCCATGTCGGCGATTGCCTTGCGCGTTTTTCTGAATTCTTGCTCACGATGTTCGCCCCGCGCCTGGTTCTCTGCCGTGTTGATAGATTGTTGTAGCTTATGATTGGATGCAATAAAGTCGTTGATCTGCTTGAACGCCGTTGCAGACTCCGCCCGGTAAGTTGCACTCGAGTTGATATAATGCACAGGTATCTGTTGCTTGAGAGGATCCACGTCGACGTGGACAATTTTGGCGGTGTCGGAAGGCTTGCAAATGGTCGGAATCCATGGTACGTCGCAATCGGCAACCAGAATAAAGTCAGCCGTCTTTATCGCATCATGGATTCCAAACCGCATTCCTAGAGATGCTGGATGGTCACCTGGGAAGCACATGTCGCAACCACCAGTATCTAGAACGCGCAGGCCCTTAAATGTGTCGGCTAGAGTGACCAACTCCTTCACTGCCTGGGGGTTGCGGCCTGAGTATCCTACGATCGCCAATGGCTCTTTGGCAGCCGCAAGCTCAGTAGCAATCAACTTCACTCCTTCCGAAGGTAGTGCTGGTGGAGCAACTCGTACCCACTGGCTTTGATTGATAGAGTACGGGGTTATTTCCTCCTCCATGACTTCTCGAGCACCAGCCAGGTAGACAGGGCCCTGAGGGTCGCTTGTGGCGAACTGTAAAGCCCGATTCACCATCTGTTTGATGTTCTTGCCCGAACGGATTTCTCCGGCATAACGACAGTACTGAGAGACGATCTGCTTCTGGTCCGGAACATCTTGGATCCAGTGGATGTATTCGGTGCGAGAACCCCGCATCTCGCCCTCAATTGTATAAGGAGAAAGACCGGCAAAGATCAGAACCGGAGCACGACCACAGGAAGCGTTGTGAATGGCTGCAGCGAGACCCTGCGTGCCCACATCGACGTGAACAATCACACATTGAGGCTTGCCAGTCAGACGCGCATAGCCATCGGCCATGGAGAGAGCCACCATCTGCCAAGAACAAAGGATTGCGGGGTTAGTGCGGAGGTGCTTGAAGCCGAGAGCCTGGCGATAAGGAATCAACTCACCTCATTGGGACATGTTACGATCTTTGGGAACTCGGTGGGTTTCTCTTTCTGGCCTTTGACCATGGCTTCTAGGATCGAGGGATGATCGGAACCCAAATTCACGAAGACATGAGTGACGCCGGCCTGTCAAGTCAGCTCTTGCTGTGAGAGATGTGGTCATCGAGGTCCAAATTAGCATACCTCCCACAGAGCCTCGAAGAAGGCAAAAGATGCAGTGTAGACCCTGCCGCCGGAGAACCGTCAGTGATTGCCCGCTTGCTTGGATATTCATTTATGAATTGCACCTACATGGTGATGACTTCAATCAAGATCTGGGGTTCAGGATTCGATATGGATGAGAACAAGCGGGGGAAGTGGGATGTAAGGGGGATGTAGCAGAGAAGAACGCATTTTGACTGATTGATAAAGTAAGGGCTCGGGTTGAAGTCCGAGCAGTGGAGCTTAAGCCCGAGGTTAAGATGGGACGATGGAAGGTGGATTGTGGATTGTGAGTGAGGGGAAATGATGGAATTGACTTTCTGAGGTATGAGTAAGCCACTTTGTAGCAGCAGTAAATCTTCTAAGCGAGGAGGGGAGGAGAAGCATTCTGCCGTACCACCCCTTCTTTCCCCGCTCGCTGCACTGGACTCAAGTACGACTAGACCACTGTACATACACAACATATGCACTGACCTGCACCAATATTCTCCGAGGAACTCGACTCTTTCTTACATCAGATGCAAATCAGCCCTATGCAAGTTGTTTGCCGGGTTCCCGCCCTTTCTTGGAGCTTGTTTCCAGAGCCAAGCCGGTTACGAGTGGAATGGATCCATCTGGCACTGGGGCCGATGACGTGGTGGCTCAGCCCAGCAAGACAATACTGCTCCCATTTTTCGTCATTTCCATGTGCGACTGTGAAAGCAACCCCTGCAATGTGCAGCTTGCATGGACTTAAAGGATCCATTATCACTACTGATTATCCATGATAGCGTGCGAACCATCGCACCAGAACACAGCCTAGGTAAAAGAGATTTGGTCGGTCACAGAAATTAGTTGCTGACATGCCGCGTAGGCATCACAATACTAGCACTTCTACTTTTACGTCACAGTTTGCCGGTGCGTCGGTGATTATTTATGGCGGCCCTTTTGCGACCGGACGATGGTGCCTCATCCACTTTACTGCTCTATATTAAGCTATCTGGGGCCCTCTTCTCCATATGTCTGAGTACCACTGTTATCTGGTTTTTTCGTCAGCCCAAAAGTCCCAATCAGTTTCGCACCACCATGCTACCGGACAGTGTTCACAGGCTCTGCCATGAAGATCAGACCGTTACATCCGAGCTGTTACGTGATCCCTCACAGTCACCCCCAAAAGTCTTTCACCGCCTCTACAACGATCACAAATCCAAAAACCATTCCGACTCGAAGGAGTCTTTAACCGATAGAGATGAACTGCAAAAGGCAGCGGAGTGCGGGAACTGGGGTAATTCCCAGCCAAGCAAGCTTTTCCTTCAGGTCAGTCAGCTCGATAACCTTCGAGATAGCGGGGGATGATTGCTGACTAGACTACTGTGATGCAAGATTTACCACGATGCTCTCTGTGCGTTAGATAAGAACCCAATGGCGGGCGTCGTCTCTCCGCCATTAATGGGAAGTCATGGTGTTGTACCTTTGACCATTATCGCACCCTTGCCAGATTTGTGTCGACACATGGCGAATTGCATCGTGCGAGCGGAGAAGGAGGTCTTTCTGGCAACTAACTTCTGGATCCACTCCGACGCATCCACGCTTATCACCAATGCATTCCGTGAGCTTTCCAAAAGAGCAGGCGAACGCGGTGAGAAGGTGATTGTGAAGATGGTGTACGATCGGGGTGACCCGCAGCAGCTGTTCGAGAACCATCTGCCCGTACCCGAAAAGAAGTACAGCGGCGGGAAGGTGAAGCTCCCCTCGTCTGAGGAAATCCCTAATATAGACCTGCAGGTCATTAACTACCACCGACCAGTGTTTGGCACATTCCATGCCAAGTTTATGGTCGTTGATCGTCGAATCGCGCTGCTACAGAGCAGCAACGTCCAGGACAATGATAACCTGGAAATGATGATCCATGTCGAGGGGCCCATCGTCGATGGTCTTTACGATACAGCATTGATCTCTTGGGGTCGGCCCCTGGAGCCCACTCTGCCGATGCTCGCGTCGCCAGCCACGGGTGCTGCGATCCCCTGCCAGTCGACCGTGGAGTTGGACCATGCAGCACCCGCACCCGGTCCTCTTCCTGAGCTCACCGTACAGGAGTCTCACTACGATACAAATCTAAAACATGAAGCAGAGCGAATGAATGGGCTACTTGAGCCTCGTGCCGGTGAAAACAAAATTCAAGCTGTCACTCGTCGTTTGAGTATGTTGATCCTCGCAACTCTCATTGCAGATTGCTGACCGCGAACAAGATACTACGATCCAGCCAAATACGACGGGTGACGCTTCGGAACGTGATCAAGAGCTTCAGATGCAGCCTTATATTGTTCTTCCGCCCCATGATCCTTTCCCAATGGCTGTAGTCAACCGAGAACCTTGGGGGGGTAAGTCCAGTCGCGCGCCATTAGCAGTAGATGGTCACTAACGAAGCGATACTAGCACCGAACCACACGAGCGTTCATACCCCTCAGAACAGCAGTTTCCTCGCCGCCATTCATAATGCCCAAGAATCGATCTTCATTCAGACTCCCAACATGAACGCGGA